AATGTACTAAGGGTAGATACTACATTGCAAGTTTGAGGCCAGCTGGGCTATCCAGTAATTTAAGGGTGGCACGGACTACATAGAGATAGTAAAAAAGCATTTAAATTGGAAAGGAACAAGTAAAATTATCCCTCTTTGAAGATGCCATGATCTTCTATGTAGGAAACCAGAAATACTCCATAGAAAACCTGTTAAAATTAGTAATCTCAGTAAAGTCATAGAATATAAAGTCATGGTACAGAAATCTGCTGCATTTCTATATACCAGTGTTAATCTATCTGTAGAGAAAACAGTTCCTAATTGCAATTGCAGAATAAGATTCCTAGGATTAAACTTAACCAAGGAAATGACAAATCTGTACATTGAAAACTTTAGAATAATGATGAAATTCAAATAGAAATGGAAAGATATACCATGTTCATGGATTAGAAGAAATAATATTGTTAAAATGTTCATACTACCCAAATCAGTGTACAGATTTCATACTGTTGTTATCCAAGTACTACAAAAACAAAGTACTATGTACTATTTTTCAATTCTACTACTCTACAATTTATATGGAACCACAAAATATCCTGAATAGTTGAAGCAGTTTTGAGAAAGAACAACAAAAGTGGGCACATTGCACTTCTTAATTTCAAATTATATTGCTAAACTATATTAATTAAAATAGTGCAGAAATGCCATATTTCCATGAAAATAAGATCTAACTGGAAAATAGGCCCTACCATGATTTTTCAGGGTGCTTGTAACATAAGCCCTACTCCCAAAATAAGCCCAATAAAGATCACATTTAATACATTTTTGCAATATACAGTGGACATACTGAATCATAAAAATAATAATATATAATACAAATAATATTCTTGACATTGATACTTAAATTATATAATTAAGTATTTGTAAATACTGATGCAGATATCTTTGGAGAAGAAGTCAATACCTATATAAACAGATAAGCTTGAGGCTTACTGCCAGATGATCAGTAGGAATACAGATACAAAGCACTATTATTATGTGCACTGAATAACAAACAGACATGGATGTGTCTAATATGAGTCTTCATTATTCAATTTGTTATGTATTGTAATGGATGTACTTTTTGCAGTTACGTAAAATACATGTTCTTAAAATTTTGGTACCTGCAATTTTTCTTTGGTTTTTGTGTGTCCCATCATTCTTAACATCATTTATATTTCCACTCCTGGCTTGTAAGTCTTTAATTAACACTTGATTTAGTGGAAACTTTGTGATGCCTAGCCTGCAAGAGGTGGTGAGTTGGGTGAAAAATTTATGGTATAAAACATTGCCAGCTGTGTTGCCAATACACTGCAGCAGGCTACCTGGACAAGAAGTGCTCTTTTAATTAAATAAAGCTCTTTTGCTGCACATGAGAGGTTGAGGCCAGTGGTTCCACAGGAAATGGAGTCACAAGAAATTTGGACCAGTATTCAGAGTTTGGAGAGTTATGATGATGTTTCAGAGGAAGATGATGTGACTGTATTTTAATAAGTGTAGAATTTTTAACATAAATGAATAATTGTGGATTATTGTACATGAAAAAATAAGACATCCCTTGAAAATAAGCTCTATGGAGCAAAAATTAATATATGACCTGGTCTTATTTTGGGGGAAATACTGTATGGTGACATAAAAACAGACTGATAGACCAGAAATAAACTCAAGCATATATAGTCAACTGTTTTTTTCTTTTAGTACAAGAGATAGGATTCAAGGCCTTGTACATACTCAGTTCATCTTAATGTATCACTGAGCTATACCACTTGGCCCAAGTCAACTAATTTTTAGGCAGAGGCACTAAGAATATTTGATGAGGAAAAAAATATGTCTTCAACAAATGTTTTTATGGAAAGTGGATATCCATGTGTAAAAGAATGAAATTGGATCTTTATCTTACACTACGTGCAAAAACTAACTCAGAATTAGTAAAAATAGAATAAAACACCTGAAAGTATAAAAGTACAAGAAAATGTATTATTAACCTTGGTAATGATTTAACAGTATACTGTAAGAAACACACAATTCAATAGCAAAGAGACAAAAACCATGAAATATCTCAGTTAAAAAAATGAGCAGAGAACCAGATATGCATTTTTCCAAAGTAGTCATCAAAAGCTAACAGTTAAATGCAAATTAAAACCACAAAGAGGTGGCTAGTAGATGGCTGTTATTACTATTTTTTTAAAGACATGAACAAGTGTTGGTGATGATATGAAGAAAGGGAACCCTTATACAATGTTGACATGAATGTGAATTATTACAGCTATTATAGATCTTAAGGATGTTCCTTAAGAAATTAAAAATAGAACTACTATATGACCTAGTAGTACCTCTTCTGCGTATGTAGCAAAGGAAATGAAATCAGTACCTTGTAAAGATAAATGTTCTCCCACATCCACTGCAGCATTATTTACAGTAGTCAAGAAAGAGAAACCACCTGTCCCTCAACAGATGAGTGTATAAATTGTGTTATCTGTATCTATATGTATAAATCAGGCTTTAAGAAAGACGATCCTGCCATTTACAACAGCTTGAGTGGAGCTGGAGAGTGTTTTCCTAATTGAAAATAAGGCACAGAAAGCGAAGCACTGCATGATCTCACTTACATGTGGAATCTAAAAAAGTCAATTACATAGAGCTTAGGGTAGTGGTTGTCAAGAGCAGAGTATTGGTGGTTGAAAAGATGAAAATCAAAGAGTACAAAGTTGCAGTTATATAGAATGAATAAACCTGCAGATAAAATGTACAACATGAAGCTCATAGTATTGTGTACTGGAAATTTGTCAAGAGTAGTTTTCACATAATCCTTTTCACACACACACACACACACACACACACCCCACACATTAAGAGTAACTATCTGAGATGGATATGTCAACTTGCTTGAATTTAATAATAATTTCACTACATATATACATATGTGTATGTGTGTGTGTGTGTGTGTGTGTATCAAAGCATCATGTTGTACACCTTAAATATATACAATAAAAACCATTTAAGTATATTTTGATTTTGTTGAATAAATGAATTCCAACTAGCATACCTCTAAAGTGATATATAAATATATTGATTGTTATATTCATATTTTTATATACATTAAAAAGTAATATAAGACAATAGTAAATGTTCAGTTTTATTAAATAAATTTTTCTAATAGTCTCTTTTACACAGGGATAATGTTACACAACTATTTCTCTTTTTTTTCTCATTAAGTTTATTGGTACTTTTTAGATATATAGTACAGTTGCATTCATCATTGGGATCTTGTACCTTTACATGATGTATCTTGGCTACACAACTATTTCTAAAAGTTATTATACCAAAAAGTTGTTACTGCTAAGCATTAACTCCCTGTTTTCTCCGCCTGCTAGCCCTTAGTGATCTCTGGAAGCTACTTTTTGCCTAATCTAGATATATCTCATAATTAGAAAATACAGTATTTATTTTTTTGGTACCAGGGATCGAACTCAGGTCCTTGCACTTGCAAAGCAGGTGGTGGAACCACTGAGCTAAATCCCCGGCTGTTTATTCCTTTTTCTCTGACATACTTCACTTACAATTGCTTTTCCTTCATTTTGTAGCTTATGCCAAAACTTCATTTGATTTTGTGGCAGATTTTATATGCATATGCATATACATATATATGTACATACACACACTCCTTTTTTATTCATTAATGTGTTGATAAAAACTTTTGACTTTAATTAACAGTGCTACAATGAACATGACATCTGGGTATCTGAGTAGCAATTTTCAGTGTTAGACTATATGGAAGAGTGAAACTGCAGTGTCATATAGTAATTCTGTGTTTAGCTTTTGGAGGAATTACCCAGCTGTTGTCTATAGTAGCTGTAGCATTGTGCATTTCTTTTTCGTCCCCTTCCTTCCCCTCCACTCCCCTTCCATAAAATTAAGCAATGCAGTTGTAGCTTTTCTAGAGCACATGAAAACATTTACCATAAAGTTTCTGAGATGTAGCTAGGTTGGTATTATGTATTAGTAGTTTACTTTTTATTGTTGACTAGGACTGCACTATAGTCATATAATACAAATGGTTTGTGCTTTTACAAATTGTTGGATGTCTGGGTTATCAGATTGATGCTGCTCATCATCTGTGTGTACGTTTTTCACTGCAAAACAGTTTGATGGTTTCTTTTTTTTTTTTATTGAGTTTATTGGTACATTTAGGGATACAGTACAGTTACATTCATTGTTGGGATCATGTACCTTTACATGGCAAGTCTTGATTCTCATTTTTTTCCCCTTACCTCTGCCCTCCCTTCACCCCCTCCTCCCCTCCCCATCTACAAACACTTTATTTTCATCTTTTCATTCTCTCACATTTTTTTCTTTTCCCTTTTTGTTCTTATACCTCTGCCCTCCCTTCACCCCCTCCTCCCCTCCCCATCTACAAACACTTTATTTTCATCTTTTCATTCTCTCACATTTTTTTCTTTTCCCTTTCTTAGTTAAACATGTTTACTGTGTGACACAGCCATTCTTTTCTCTTAGGTATTTACCCAAAATTTATGAAAAACATGTTTTCATGTGCTTAGAAGAGCTATAACTACAGTGATAAAAAGCTGATCATTGTTACCAAAGACCTGGAAGAGGGAACTGACTGCAGATGTCAGGAGGCAACGTTCTCTGGTCACTGAAATGTTCCGCATTATGATTTTGGTGATGATTTTATGTGTATTTCTTAAAGTTCATTGCTTAATTTTATTTATTGTAATTTATTGGTAAATCTGAATAAGAAAATGTGCTTTTTAAAGAATTATGAAGCTTCATGTCATGGAAAGATTGGATTGCTTTTCTTTTTCTAGAGGTGGATAGGTAGTGTCAGTTGGTGGTAGAAGATTACAAAATTATATTTAGAAGAAGAGAATTGGTAATATCAGTAATAGAAGCAGTATCACAATTAATAAACTGAATTTTTATCTTCTTACTAGTAATTCTCATTATTTATATCACTTTAGAAATATAAACCAGGTCGGTGTGATGATATTTTGAAATGGAAGCCTCCCAGTCTGAACTCCGTTGATTTTCGCCTAAAGATAACAAGAATGGGTGGAGAAGGGTAAGTGCAAAAATATCCACAACCCTCCCCCCCAGACTTTTTTTTTTTTACATGAAATGATACTCTGTATAAGGCTTCACTGTTTATGGGGTATTTCATTTATATTTTACAATACTTTCTAAAAAGGTAAGTAAAATAAACTTTATATCTACATCTGTTTTGAGTTTCACAGATTATTCATTCTTTTGATCTGTGGCAACTAAAGTTTTATAGCATCTTTTAAAAAAATTTTAGTTACAGTAATATAAAAATGAGCTTTATTAAATTGTTAATGTAGGTGTTATTAAAAGTAATCCTACCAAAGTATTATAATAAATATATTGAAAAGTCTTTTTACTTTGAAGGATACTGCTTCATGTTTGTTTTTGTATAGCAAATATTAACCCATAATACTTTATTAGTGTAAAGTTTTAATTACATTCATTAATTTTTCACAATGTTCATTAAGTACTTTTTTGTTGTTGTTGTTGTTACTGAGGATCGAACTCGGGTCCATGTGCTTGCAAGGCAGTCAGCAGAATCACTGAGCTAAATCCCCGGCCCCATTTAGTACTTTGTAATTTATTGGTTATTTTTCATTTTGTGATTTCATTTATAAAAGATGCTTTAGCATGAATGTATTTTTTGTATCCTCAAAATCTTGTTGTTTCACTTGTACAGATTTTTAAGGCGCGTAAGTAAATATATTACGACAAAGTAACAAAAGTTTAACCAAGGAAATCATAAGAAAGTAAGATAACAGAAGCAGAGAGATTTAAAGTCTACCAATGTATATAATGAAACTTATTTTACCTTTCAAAGTATGCCTTTTATAGGTAATGGAAGAGAGGATATGTTTTTGGTTACAATATTCCAGATTCCCTAAAATTAAAATACAGTAGTCTCTTAAAAGAGTGTGATTTTTCAAAGAAAGGATACTATGCTCTGTGATAGATCCCAAGAAAGGGGTTTAATAAAGCATGTGGATGTCCCCCCCCACTGTCCTAGACAATGGCTCTACCAGATTGCCAGGGGAGATACATTAACTAATTAATTTATCATGGGCTAAAATAACTTTCATATGTCTTAGCAATTTACAGTGTTGAATTTTGTAAACATACAATTTAGATTTTCATCAGAGAGCTATTCATTGTTTTAAAAATGTTGTGGCTTTATAATAAATGTATAATTGAAAAACAGAGCTATTGTCAAAAGCTAGAATTATAAAGGTAGTCCCTATTCTGTAAGTTGCAAACTTGTGACTTATAGTGATATAACTTACTTGTGCAGCAGAAGACTGTTTTTTTCTTTAAAAATTCATTTTAGCACGAAAATTAACAGCATAGATTCCAGAATCTGGCTGCTTTAGTTGAAATCTGCTTACTAGCTCTGTGACCTTGAACACATTTTTTTTTCCTGTACCCTGTGTTTTCATGACTAAAGTAGAACTTTGACCCATAAGGTTTTATGAAGATTAAATATGTAAAACATTTAGAACAAAATATGACACATGATAGTTAAATACCTTTTTGTCATTTTAATTAAATTATTTTAAAAATTAATTTTTCTTTCTTTTTTTTTTTTGAGGGGGCTACCAGGGATCGAACTTGGGTCCTTGCGCTTGCGAGGCAGGCAGCAGAACCACTAAGGGAGCTAAATCCCCTTATTTTTTTTCTTGCTATTCTTACAGTTTTACTTGTTACTTGCTGTACTGTGCAAGGCCAACTTTCTATGTGAATTATTTCCTGTTTAATTCTAATCCCTATTAGTTCTCCCCTTTTAAAATGCTTATCTCTTTGGGTAAGCAGTCATAAAGTATTAAAAAGGACCATTGTCTCTGAAAAACAATAAGGCAGTAATAAGTGTTGGTGAGAGATGGAGAAATGGAAGTCCTCAGACATTGATGATGAGATTATAAATTAAAACCACTCTGGCAAACAATTGGATAGTTTTTCAAAGTGCTAAAGTAAATTTACTATATAATGTGGCAGTTCTGTTCTTAGGTATATACCTAAAAGAAATGAGGATGTATATCTATACAAAAATTTGTACATGGATCTTCTTAGCAACAATATTCATAATAGTCAAAAGGTGCAGACAACCCAAAACTCTGCCAATGGGAAAAATAGATGAATGTGCAAACAAAATAGCTCATCTATCTATGCTAGTGTTACGGATCATTATAAGCAAAAAGGCTCTGGAATTATACTCATTTCTAGCTCTTCCACTCTTAAGTTACTTGTCTATTGCTTGTTTCCTTAATTCTCTAGTTTAGATTGTAGTGGTGTCTACTTCTTACGGTAATTGAGTAGAAAGAACAGTGTCTAAAACATTTAGACTTATACATGTTATACAAAAATACTAAATATTTATTACTTTTTTAAAAGATGCCTATCTCTGGATTATACTATTGCAGCGCACAGAAGAGCTATATACTACAGCTGTGAGAGATAACAGTCATCCTAGGCCAGTGGTGGCAAACCTATGGCATGCGTGGTGCAATGAGCATACAGAGACCTCTCTGTCAGCATGTGAGCCAAGTGTATGAGTTTGTTATTTTCTAAACTAAAAACTCAGTATTCAGGTTTAGTTCCAGTGTTGCTACCTTGTGATAAATAACTGGGCTTTGGGTTGCAGTTTGTACACCCAAGCTTTAAAAGCTCTATCACTGTCTTAGACAAAGGCCTATGTCTTCTGACAGCGCCTTAGATTGGTAGAGAGACAAAATTATTTGCCAGCTTGTATTTAAGATTTCAGAGGTTCTCTTCATTTTGCTTCATTAAAGATAGCACATTTGAAATAACAGCTGCAATGGCAGCCTGATTAAATTTATGATGATTCATAATTATTCTATGTCTTTGATGGTGGTACTTACCTCAATACAACCTTGGGGGTGCCTTTTTTTTTTTTTTTTTTTTTTTTGTTTG